AGCTGAGTTTTTGGCTCAAAGTGTTAAAAAAAAATTGTCACTTAGTTTATATCAAAGATTATGGTTCCTAATTTTTATCTTCTGGTGGTGGAGTAGCTCAAACAAATCCCCAGGCTATTCAATTTGATAAACACCTATGTGCTAAATTCATCAATCAGGAATTAGGTGTTAAGAGGGAAAGTGATGAACATTTCCTAAAAGGTTTTAAGACACAACTCACTGAGAATTAACCTTTACAGCAAATTCAAATCCATATAGCATCCTCAAAAGACTCTATATCAAGTTAAGAATTTTAAGTATGTGCCCACTTGCATAATTGCTTACAACTGCACATCTCTATAGTTCCCTTAAAAGGCTTTATATTCATAAACATTTATATTTGATTAAATTCATCTTCACATACTTACTCTTGCAAAGAAATACTTTCTAGTGCTACAATTATCCCAACCTATTAGAAATTGAAAAATAGAATCGTAGAATAAACAGAGCTCACTTTTCTGGTTAATCATTAACTATGCACATTTGGATTTAAAATCTTGACCCAGGGATGTTTACTGCATTTACCTTCAGTGGCCTATAAAATCCAGCAGCTAAAATTATGCCAATTTGTTACAAACATAATGAGTCAACTAAATAAGACTAGAAAACATACATTTCAGTTTCCTATTAAGTCAAAGTGTTTAAAATATGAAATATTAAAGTTCCAGAATGCGTTAAGATCTACCCTAAAGTCCAACTGCTAAACTCTGTATGTCCTACTTATTTGTGTTCACTAAGAATGTACACTAGAAAACACCTAACTTAATGTAAGGTCTGAAAAGATACATTTGGGAAAATGTTTTTTTCCCCTTTAAGTTTGCTTGTCTCAATTCTGATCAGGTTAGAGTAATTTTTAATGTAACTGCTGGGTCTGTATCACCTTTCAGTTACTGACATTCATTTCTGATAGGTAAGAAAATTAATTCTATTTTGGAAAAGATACAGAAAGGCAGACAATAGAGCTGTTCTCTCAAATTTCATAGCTTGGAATATAAAAGCATTACTTTAGAACTTTGTAAGATATGAAACAATCCTAGCATTTTTCATAATTTAGAACATCATTTTAAGGTAATTAACTACAGTGATTCTCAATGAAGACAGAACCTGATTTTCATAATCAACTTGGGGCTTCTTCAAGCTACACAGGTACACAAGCTAAAATTGTTATTACGTAATTTTTTTTAACTTTAGTCACTCAGGCACAACTATAATCTCTTAGAACATAACTCAGTAACAGGCATTTTACATTCCTTTTAGTACCATGGGCTGTAAAAGATTGTTGCCCTGTATCACTATATGAAAGGAAGGAATGGAACTGTATTTTGCTAGGAACTTGGTCATACAAATTTGACTTAAATTGTTGGAAGAATATATCTGAGTCAATCCCTGTCCCTGGGGCTCTAACTACTCTGTGGCTAATTTTTAAAAACAGCCAATAAAAAAATTATTTACCCAACTGTTAAAAAAAATTGAAAATTTACATGTTCCAAAGTCCTTTGCTAAACACTTTACATAGATTATTTTGTTTACTCTTTATCAACATCCCCACAGAGGCTGCTATTATCAATGAAGCTTAGGATGTTACTAATGTCTGTAATACTGAGCAAACCATTTAAGATAGATTTCAAACTGAAGCAGCAGAATCCAGGCCAGTATTTCTCAAAATACTAAAGTCAATCTTCATATTCCATATATCCAAGACGGCTTCCCTCCTCTAAAGATAGATCCATTAAGTGCTTGAATCCTAGGGCTGCATTAATCATTTCAAATGCTTGTCCTCTTGGATCTTGTATTTATTCTTTAGCAGACATACATGACATAATGTTATAGGATTTTGAATGTAAAGAGCCCATATTCAGTACCAGATTAAAGGATATGGAGCTTAAAAAAAAAATACTGTGTATCATTTTCCTAAATATCAAGAATACTAAGATAACATCAATAATTTAAAAAATCTAGGATTCAGGGCAAGGAAAGGACTTACTGAAAAAGAGAAAAATTATTTTCAGAAAATCCTAGAATCTTATTGCCTCTTTCTAGATACTTGATTCTGTTAAATATCTGAATAGCTTTATCATAATCTTGTGATAGCATGAGCTCTTACTTGGATAAGTGTCTCTTATCATTACTTTCTTGGTATTATGCTAAACTCTCACTCTAAGAAATATCTAGGTAAGTCAGGATATCACAGTACTCAAGGCTAAACTGAAATCTCCCCCAGTCCACCTCCTCACCAATGTATAAATTGATCTCCAGCTCATTTCCTCATCTACACATTTTCAGAATTCATTTATGGGTATAATTAGTAATAAAACTAAAATCTTTGCCTAAACTTTTGTTATTACTAGTGTAATGCACCACAATAAACACCGATACAGGATGTAGAGGACAACTGTACCCTACCCCTGTATACTCAGTTTTAAGAAATAGAGAATAACTGGTTCCAACCTGGCAGAATAATTCAACAGGGATGAGTGGATGATAGCTATACATTTTTAGAGTTCTACAGGTGATTCTGACACTTAACGCTGCTGAAAAAACTCTTGCCGTAAGAGCAAATGACTCAATACTCTTTAATGAGCTACCTATAATTATAATACAAATCAACACCCTAATTGTAAGTTGTTTTATCCACCTAAGGCATTCTTAATCCCACTTTTCAGTTTTTCTAACCCAGTGTTTTCTCTGGGACACTGAGGTTATTCTTTCAGAAGCTGGTGTCACCAACTCCTCAAATATTAACTTTGTAAAAATTTCTAAGGAAGAATGCAGAATTTTTTCCCTGAAAGTTAAAGATTAAATCATGGAGTTTTTTTTAGATATTAAATAGATGTTTCATTTTATTATGGTTAGATGTCCAATGGATATAAGCCTGGAAAAACTTCAAACTACCCAAACATATGACAAATTATAAATTATAGAAATCACTGCATTACATAGGTCTAGTTTCTCACCCATAAGATATCTAAGCAATCTGCCCCCACCCCCAGAAAATTTGTCTTCCATAGTAACTCAGACTGAGGTTATTGCTTATATAAAGAAATATTTTATACCACGACCAAAAGTCACTATAGGTTTGTAAAAGAAGACATACCAGCGAACCACCAACCCATAAAAATAATTTAAGAGTTTGAAACTAAGCCTAAATGCAAAGCTGTCCACTGTTTCCTCTCTGTTAAATGTAAAATACCTCTATAGTTATACTGAAGGGCAGAAAGAAAACAACAAACATTTTGTTCCCTTTCCTATACTTACCACAATTACTTGCAAAGGTGTTTCTGAACAACAGAAATATTTGTATGAACCTTTCCCAGTTTGTACTGCATGGATGAGACCAACACATATTATATCACCTTTGTTAAAAATGAAACAAAGCCTTTCATCTTGTGACTTGTGTCCAGAAACATGACAGACGATGATTCTTCTGTTTTTGTAGATATCATCTGTATACATCTGAAAGACTGTTTCTACCATGTTTTATTATTTTCAATCACTCTGCCTAGCTTTTCCGGATAGGAGAATCCATCCATCAGCTGTAATATTACTAACTACTAACAGAGAGGTGAAATGCATATCCTTAATGACCCGAAGTAACAAATTAATAATTTTGTTTTCAGAATAACTGTGCAAAAGGGAGGGAGAAAAACATAAATATATCGCATTTTTAACCCTTCAGACACCCTCAGGAGGAAAAGGAATTTTCCATCTTTCATAGTGTAGACAGACTCTGAAAAAGAACAAATACACAGCATTGTTTTAGTAACACAATTGGAAAAAAAATACAGTTCATTTGAGATACTGAGCAAGGCAACTTAAAGAATAGTAAGTTTGGTTTCAGTTACTTAAAAATAATTAGTTCTTAAGGTAATTGTATATATAGAGTACCACAAATTAAACACTAACTGTATTTTTAAAATAAGTTGGTGATCCATGCTAACGAACATCCTGCCTTCTCAGTATTTTAGCGTACACTCTTAAGTTTATCCAGGAACCCACGTTACTTCGAAACCGACCGCTAGCGGTCAATAGGGCTATCATCAATAATATCCCTGGCACTTTAAACCGGCTGTTATTCCTTTAGACTCCTTTATACCTTAGTCTTTTCTTAATTGGGGCGCCAAAGCACCGTCCCTTTCCAGGTTGGCTACTAGAGCCAAAATCGATTTCTTTGGACCCTTTTGGCAAGTCATTCTTGTATGAAAAACCAATGAGGGTCCGAAACCTTGCGGAGGAGTAAGGAAGGCTGGAATATAAGTGACAAAAAGATAAAAATAAAATCGGGAGGTACAACCCAATTCCGTGGGTGGAAGCTGGCTTCTCCGACCGAAGTGAGAAGGGTCGCCGTCCCGGGTCTCCGCAGCCCAACAAAGACGCCAACCGCTCCGAGGGTCCTGTTAGCGGGCCTAAGTGATGCTCTGGGCCCAAAAGTAAACTGACAATCCCTTAGTAACGAAAAGGACCGTGACGGGTAGGGTGCCTATACAACCTGCTGGACCGTAAGGCCGAGGCCCAGTCGACCTCTTGATACTGCCTCCAGCCGGATCCGCCCTACAATGTCCCCAGTTGCCGCGGCCACACCCGAGTCCCCAGATTTGGGCCCTAGGCTCTCCAACCGGTTTATCCTCCACCTCACCGTCCCTACCGCATCACCATTCGGCTCGCGCGCTGCCTAAAACCTCTGCCAGGCTCCGCCGACTATTCCTGGCACTCCTAACATGGCGGCCACGTCCCCTTCGCTCCTTTGGCCCACTCTGGGCGCGACCGACTTTGGCGCATTTTGGGCATTGTAGTTTCCGCGATAGTCTCGGTGTCCTGCCAGGCCTTTAGAAGACTACGATTCCCAGAATGCACCGCTCCTGAGCATGGCTATTGGGGCCTTTCGGACAGAGGGATGATGTCATTGCAAAAACCCCACTGCATTCATTGTGCTACGGTCTATCCACCCCCCTGCTGCTGCTGGGCTTGCGATTGCCGCTTGCTCCAGCTGAGCTAAGAGTAGCAGCAGCACCAGGGCAGGGACTGACTCCAGCCCTTGGACTTAGGACATCGCAACACGTTCCCTTGCCTGCGTGACTCATTCGCACATCAGTTCTGTTTATGCCTGGGGTGGGGAGAAATATCCCAAACCAGGTGAGTTGAAGTGATTTATTCAAAGGGTTCTACCAAGTTATTCCTCCCGCTTAATTCTCAAGGCTTTCTTTTGGGAAGATGGGGGCGGGAGGATTGGAGAGGTGTTCGCAAGTGCTGCTAAGTGAAAAGCTCTGTGCAATTTGGGTCACTGCAAAGAACAACTCTAGCAACCTTCCCCCGCCGGAGGACCGATTCCTGCCAATTCCCTAGTCGCAACTCCCCTCAACCTTTTTGAGGATTGGAGAGGGGGGCTGGGTTGGGGAGGATGTTGGGAAGTGCTCTTAGAAAATCAGAAGACAGAGGTGGGGGACTGCAGTCCTGTCACATACGGCCCCGAGTGCTGAGGTTTGAGTGGGAAGGGGTGATGCGTGGGGAGAAATGGAGACAGTGATTTAATGTGGTTGCACTACTTTAGAACATTTCTATGTCGCTTGGGCAAGTACACGCTATTTATTTTTAAGATGAGCGTGCTTCTGAGTAGGTTAAGTTTTGTGGGGCTCTATTTTATGTGTGTGTGTCTGTGTCGTTTGTCTCGCCTTTTCTGCTGATTTGAGGTGACAGTGTCCTTTAATGGTGCACTCCCCTGCCAGTCAGAAACATTTCACGTGTCTGGGGAAGCTTCTTTTAGGCTGCTGGAAGCAGCATTTTTGTTAAGTGTTTTTCTTCTTCCCAATGCAGGATTGTTTGGAAGTGGACAGATTTATGCTCGTGTGAGTGTTTTAAATTATGTTGCAGTAGGCTCTTTGCCACTGACAATGGTACCATAATTAGCTGCCTTTTCGTGAAGCACAGTCACCTGTCACAACTAACGGTTTGGAGAAGGGGTCATTAGGGAAACCCTGGTTCATTTTAACGCATTAGGGAAAGGGAAAGTTAGAAGCACTGTTAACCTTCATTTGCCATTACTGAAAGGTACCCAAAAGGTATCTTCTGAGAGGAAGAGTGATCCTGGCCAGGGAAACCAAGGCGCATAGAAGTGGGGGTTTTTTTGGTTTGTTTTTTGGGGTTTTGTTTTTAAGCGAACTGACACATTTAATAGGACAGAAAGCATTCTGGCTTACATGATTTTGGCTCTTGTGAGAGTTATTAGGATGATTAGTGCAATAAATGTTACTTTGGGATAAACAGCTGGCTGACTCCAGAACAGATGGGGCCAGTCTTAGCTGAGAGATCTACAACCTTGGAAATGAATGGACTTGGGGTCAGCCACACCCCCTCCTGGAATGTCAAAAGAAGGAGAAATGTCAAAGCATTTTATGCTTAACTCTAAAATGCCAAACCTTTTTATAGCCAGGTCAGGCATTGGGTGAAAGTCATTCCTGGTTATCTTCTGCTGCTGAACAAATTTTCTTCATTTTCCATTCAGACCCTTAGGTCTCCAAAGTTGCAGCTGGGTGATGCTTCGTTAAACGCTGCTTGTTACTAAATGCAAAGGACAATCCATTGTATGGGCTTTGTAGTAGAGAGATTTATTGAGATGCAATGAGCAGCTTTGGGATTTGGGAAAAGACTGCCTGGCTTTGCTTCTCCGTATGTTTTTCTGATGCTTACTGTCTATTCTCCTGGGCACCTTACCCTTTTTGTCTGTACCTTCCTTACCCCACCCCTCTATGTCCCTTGAAGTTCTTTCGGTTTCTTTTCCTGTTTCTCCATTTACAATTCTCACTTTTCCTCTCTGTTTCAAAATTTCCCTCTTATCACCAATACATCAAGTCTCTCTAAGTCTTTTTCCAATCTCTGAATACCCTCCTCACCCCTTCTTTACCTCACCCAGAAACTCCAGGGTAGAGGTAGACTGTGCAAATATTTATTCCACAGAGTCCTCTTGGAAGCTTTGACTTTTCTTTTTTCTTGCAGTGGGTGCTAGGCAGGATGAGCAGCAACGAGCCTGACCCTTTGGCCTGGTTTGTGGCTTCTGTGACAGACATAATTTGGCCTCAGCAGCTTGTGGACAATGCAGTGTTGCAGTTGAGCCATGTCACTGTAGTTTTCATTGGTACCTGTATTAAGAACTGCCAGTGCATTAGCAAGGTTTTAAAATACTATATATGAGGGGCACCTAGCTGGCTCAGGAGGAAGAGCATGTGACTCTTAATCTTGGGGTTGTGAGTTTGAGCCCCACATTGGGTGTATAGAGATTACTTAAATAAATAAAAACTTAAAAAGAAGGGGCACCTGAGTGGCTCAGTCAGTTAAGCATCTGCCTTCTGCTCAGGTCATGATCTCACAGTCCTGGGATCGAGCCCCGCATCAGGCACCCTGCTCCGCGGACAGCCTGCTTCTCCCTCTCCCTCTGCCACTCATCCTACTTGTGCTCTCTCTCTCTCTGTCAAATAAATAAATAAAATCTTTAAAAAAGAAAAAAAAAACTTTAAAAAAATCAAATGCTTTACATGAAATGTTCTCTTAATTCCCAAAGGAATAAAAAGACTTCAAAGGGCTTCTTCCTCATTTAATACTTTTTTTTCCCCTGATTCCTGCTCCAGTATGTGGTGGGAAAGCCATCTTTTCTGTTGATTGCTGAGGAGCAATCCAGGTGGACAAACTGCCCATTTGTTTTATTTTTTTGAAGACACTTGGAGTAGCAACAGTGTTCCCTCCTGTGGTGTCTTCTTTATGGATGAAAAAAAATTTTTTTATTTGTTCTCTTAAGGAGAAGGGTGTGGTGGTGGTTATGTTTGCTGTTTAACGTTAATGCTTTTCCAGGCATAGAGTCTAACTGTTGTTGGTATGGAGGCAACTAGTGTGACAGGCAGATTCAGAAGTTGTCTTCCTAGACCTCTCTCTCACCACCTTCTCATTCCTAATTTTCTTATTTTAAGATGCTCCATCTCCTACCCACACTGTTTAGTGTTTTGGGGGGACAAATGAGCTGAATGATGGGTTAGATTTGTCTCCATCATTATGTCTGTGACCTTGAATAACTGTGCATTTCTTTCTGCCTCTGTTTACATATTTGCAAATGGATAATGATCCTTGCCCCTTGGCTTACTTAGCCAAGTAGTTTGCTCCCAGCCCATAATTCTGATGACAAATATTAATTGAGCAGCTACTGTGTTTTAAGAACTATGGATACATCAGTGGAAAGAGAAGCTTCCCTGGGTGCCTCAGTTGGTTAAACGTCTGACTCTTGATGTTGGCTCAGGTCATGATCTCAGAGTTGCGAGATGGAGCCCCACATTGAGCTCTGCACTCAGTGTGGAGCCTGCTTGAGATTCTTTCTCCCTCTCCCTCTGCCCCTCCCTCTGCTTGCTCGTGCACATGTGTGCTTTCTTTCTTTCATTTTTTTTAAATTAACATATAGTGTATTATTTGTGTCAGGGGTACAGGTCTGTGATTCATTAGTCTTACACAATTCACAGCACTCACCATAGCACATGCCCTCCCCAATGTCCATCACCCAGCCACCCCATCCCTCCCACTCCCCTCCACTCCAGCAACCCTCAGTTTGTTTCCTGAGATTAAGAGTCTCTTGTGGTTTGTCTCCCTCTCTGGTTTCATCTTGTTGCATTTTTCCCTACCTCCCCCTATGACCCTCTGTCTTGTTTCTCAAATTCCTCATATCAGTGAGATCATATGATACTTGTCTTTCTCTGATGACTTATTTCGCTTAGCATAATACCCTCTAATTCCATCCACGTTGTTGCAAATGGCAAGATTTCATTTTTTGATGGCTGCATAATATTCCATTGTATATATACATCACATCTTCTTTATCCATTCATCTGTTGATGGACATCTAGGCTCTTTCCATAGTTTGGCTATTGTGGACATTGCTGCTATAAACATTGGGGTGCATGTGCCCCTTCGGGTCCCTACATTTGTATCTTTGGGATAAATACCCAGTAGTGCAATTGCTGGGTTGTAGGGTAGCTCTATTTTCAACTTTTTGAGGAAACGCCATACTGTTTTCCAGAGTGGCTGCACCAAGCTTGCATTCCCACCAACAGTGTAAGAGGGTTCCCCTTTCTCCACATCCTCGCCAACATCTGTCGTTTCCTGACTTGTTAATTTTAGCCATTCTGACTGGTGTGAGGTGATATCTCATTGAGGTTTTGATTTGTATTTCCCTGATGCCACGTGTATCTTTCTAAATAAATAAATAAATAAAATCTTAAAAAAAGGAGAAAGAAAGAGAATCATCCCCTGCCCTATGGAATTTCTGTTCTAATAGGGAGACAATCATTGGACAAGTAATCACAGTGTGATGAGTGTTATTACCAAAAGGGGATGTACTATATGGTGGAATAGGAGTGCCTCACTGGTACTTCACCTTCTCTAGGGAAATCAGGGAAAGATTCCTGTAGGAGGTGACACTTCAAGAAACTTTAAGAGTGAGTGGAAGTAATTTAGGTTGACAATGAGAGGTGCTTACAGGGAGACAGAGGATTTCTGACAAGGGAAACTGCATGTTCAAAGTACAAAGGAAAGAGTGGTAAATATGAGGACTTGAAAGGAGGTCAGTCTGTATATGGGAATAGAGCAAGGGGAGAGACCAAACCAGACTGGAGAGGTGGCAGAGTCTAGAAAGTGGGCAGTTTTCTGAGCCTCGCGTGAATTTTGGTCTTTATCCTAAGAGCAATGGGAACCTAATAAAGGGCTTTAAATAGCTAGGTGAATTATATATGTAGAATGATATGAAAAACATCACCTTGGCTGTTAAGTGAAGAAGAGATTGGAGAATATTGGCCAAAGTCAATGTGTGGAGGACAAGTAGAAAGTCATTCTTGTAGTCTATGTGAGGGATAATGGTGGCTTGGATTTAGGGTGGTGACAGAGGGCTTGGAAAGAAGGAAAGAGATTAGGGAGATGCTAAACTTGAACATTATAACTGATAAGATTACTGATGGATTGGATGTGGGGATAGGGAGAAGGGGGAGTAGAGATGTACTTGAATTTTTCCTTGAGCAACTGGGAATGCCATTTTCAGAAAAAGAGAACACTGGACAGAGACCAGATTTTTGTTTGTTCAAGAAGGAGGGACTTTTGGCCATGTTGAG